AGCCTCCCAAAACACCGAAAGTGAAGGGAGAAGGCAAAAAGAAAGGAAAGAAGGCAAAGGAGAGTCCCCCACCAGCCATCCCCAACCTCGACTTGCTGGAGGCACACACCAAGGAGGCTCTGACCAAGATCAAGACGCCAAAGAAGGGGAAGGTGGGTCATGTTGTAACCTCTCCCCCTTCTCCTGCCATCATAGGGATAAAATCACTCCTTAGGTCTCGTGTGAAAGGTAATCTGTGTGACACAGTGTGAAACCCTGGCTCTGCTGATGAGAAGGAAAGATTTGTAACTGCTGGTTCATTACCCTTCTTTTACCCAACTCTTGGATTTAATTTGACTGTTTGCTTGGTTATTCTTTGATATGGAGCCTCCCAGAAACCCATTTATATCAAAAGGTATCAATGATGACAGAACTTGTTTCTAAAGCATCAAATTTACTTGAGATTTCACTCTAGAAGGAGTGACTGGAGATAGAACAATAGTTTTCTTCCACTTTTGCCCATGCAGGACAAATTTCTTTGTGATGCCCTTGAATTCTGAAACCTTTTAATTCAGCATGAATTTTGCTGTTGGCTTCAGGAGGGGCCATTGAGGCACTGACAGAGGAATGTCAGAATTGCTGTTTGTAAAGAAATACCCCTAAATCTTTCCTAAAGCACTTCTGAACTTTTAGCAGTTTGTGTGCAGTTTGTGGTGCCTGTCATGGAGCAGCAGGCAGGGAGATGAGTGTGTTGGTGTATTGAGGAGAAGAGCAGCTGGTCTTCTGCAAGTTCTGAAGCAGCAATATTTGACTGAACCTCAGTTTTGGGTTCCAAAAGAATAAATAGGAGTTTTCAAAAATATATTGTGTTATATTCCAGATAAAGCCTGTGTTTCTGACATGCAGCACTGCATCCTCATTAAAAGGAGTTCTTCCTGACTTTTATTCCCCAGGCTGCAAAGAATGTTCTAAGTGTTCCCAATAAGGAATCTGCAAGCAAGCAGAATGAGGTGGAGAAATTTGAAGTCCGAGAGCAAAATAAAAGCAAAACAGAAGCCAAATGGAAATATAAGGTAACACCTCCTGTTAAATTCTGCTGCTGGTTCTGCCACATAATGACAAGCTGAGGGTGGAGAATCGTTCATGGCTCTACCTAAGCAGAGAGAACAAGACACCAATTTTGAGTTTTCAAAGAAAAAAATTAAGCAGAAAAGAATCAGTCACTGATTAAGGAAGGGGATGTGTGTGGATGAATTCTTGGATAGCATGTGCTGAATTATCCATCTTATCCATGGTGACACCAAACTGTTAACAGTGAGATGTTCAGTACTGATCCCTTTTGTGATCCTTCCTGGAACACAGTCCTACTGCTTTAAGTCTGGAGTAGTTGCAGAGAAATCAATAACTAATCAATAATTAACTAATAATTTATACTCAGTAACTAATTTTAATGGCATGAAATTAAAGTTAATGAAATCTGAATTATGCCACATGGACTTAAAAGCTTACCTTCCTGGAGGGCTAATGGAGGGTCAGTGAAATTCACTCCTAGAACAGCACATTTTGTCTGCAGGGGCAGTTAAATAAGGTGAGCTCAGGCTCTCTCACTGAAACAGATGTTTGTTGTGAAATTCTAATGACAAAAGTGCAAACAAATTCCCCTGTTACAAAATCCTCTGTTACTCACCACATTTGGGGGACCTTATTTGGACATTGGGAAGGAATCCTTCCCTGTGAGGATGGTGAGGCCCTGGCACAGGGTGCCCAGAGAAGCTGTGGCTGCCCCATCCCTGGAAGTGTCCAAGGCCAGGTTGGACAGGGCTTGGAGCAACCTGGGCTAGTGGAAGGTGTCCCTGCCCATGGCAGGGGGTGGGATGAGATGGGCTTTAAAGTCCCTTCCAACACAAACCAGTCTGTGATTCTATGATTTTGCAATCCTCTTTTACTCTGTCTGTAGATGAATAGACTCTCTGAAGATACCTGTGAATCTACCACATAAATGACATGACATTTAACTGGTTTAATTGTTTTGTTTTGTGTTGTTTGCCTTTCAGAACAGTAAACCTGATTCACTTCTAAAAATGGAAGAGGAACACAAATCAGAAAAGACACCTTTATCAGGAAATAAGGACAACAAATTTACATTCTCTTTCTCTAATAAGAAGTTGCTTGGGTAAGTAAAAATATGACAACGCACATCAACTAAAAAAACAGATTGAAAAGTCAGTATTTATGTTTTTTTACAAGAAGATGAAAATCTGCCCTTCTGGTCAATTTAGAAAATACACTGTCACAAAAAGTTCTTCTAGTGCTTTAGTCAGCATCCTGTTTTGAGATATAAATTGTAGGTTCAGAAACGTGTTTGTAAAATTATTCTATTTGCTTTGACACCCCTGAAAGTATCAAGTTGACTGAGATTTCTGCATAGAGATACTCATTGTCTTCCTCTCTGTCAAGTCACAAGCTGTTTTCTACTCAGTGTTGTTACTGATTTGTAATTTTTCTTTTCATTTCAGTTCAAAGGGAGTCAAAACCCAGCTGAATACTAGTGTGTTTGGGTCACTGCAGAATTTTAAGGAAGACAAAGCCAAACCTGTACGGGATGAATATGAATATGTGTCAGATGATGGTGAACTAAAAATTGATGAGTTTCCAATCAGAAGGAAGAAAAACACTTCAAAAAGAGAACTGCCCTGTAAGAATATTTCCTGGTTTGTCTTTATCTGCTCAACAAAGTCTTAGGTGGTGATTGTCCAGAACAATCAGCATGTGATTTATAGTAAAGAAAGCAATGTTTTACCTGTCAGTCAAATGTAAGGGCATAGGAGGGCTGGTTTTTGGAGGGAAAAGAACCATGACTGTGTTTCTTTTTATTCATTCAGTTTTATCAGATAAAAAAGACACCCTGCAGCACACTCCTGTTAAGAAGCCAAAGGTGGAGTCGGTACCATACAAGGTATGATGATATTGTTCCTTCACAAAGTCCCACTTGAACGAGAGGATCTTTAAGGTCCCTTCCAGCCCAAACCCTTCTGTGATTCTGTACCTGTGATGCAGCAATTAAAGTGTTTGTTTGCTGTGATCAGTACAAGTTCATATTATAATATCTGAATAAGTCAGAAAAAGAAAATAGTTTGTTAAGACAGAACTGGAGTTGTCCAAAATGTTTGGTTTTAAGTACTAAGAAATTCTCTGCACCCTGGTTTGTCTCTGGGATGTTCAGGAGGAATTGCAGACCTCCTTGGCTGAGTCAGGAGCTGATGTCTGGAGGCTGGTGGTATCTCCCTGTGCGGGAGCTGAAGGAGGGAGTCCCTGGAGAGAACAGACTGGCACTCCAAGCAATAAGGGCTGGCACCTCAGCAGCCTGAAAACAGGGCAGGGAGGGGAAAAGAGTCGTTTCATTAGACTGTAGGCTACAGGGCACAGAAATCCCAGCCCCAGGGAGATGGTCAGGTGTAGGCAGCTCCCTTCCATGGCCCCACGTGGCCCCTGTTCCTATGGATCTGTGCCATTCTGCTGTCTGATTTCCCAGTCTCCTGCAGTGGGATGGCAGATGTGGGTCTGTCCCCATGTCTGGATTGTCAGTGTTGGCAGTCTTGCCAGGTGCAGATCTGTGCCCTGCTGCACACCTGGGCTGGCAGAGCCATGGCCACACAGTCCCTTCCTTTCCTGGAGGGGTCATGGTCTGAAGAACTGGAGCAGGGGCTGGGAAATTAAAGCAGCACCTGGAAACACCACTGTTAGAGTGGTCTGATCCCATGAGCAGGATCAGATCTCAGAGCTTTGGGAGGGGAAAGAAAAACCCACCATGCCTACAGATTGCAAGGAAATGGATTTTTACCATGCACCTGGTTTTGTTCGTTTTATCTTTAATGAAAGCAAATTCCAAAGGCTAGTCCTGTGTCCTTGGAGGAGCAGCAGGCTGCAGGAATCACTGTGCTCTTCTTGTTGAGTAACTCAGTGAGTTTCCACCTTTTTTGAGCCTTTCCCTTGTTTTTGCAGAGCGAGGACTCGTCAGATGAAGATTTGCTTCACATTGACACCGAGGCAAAGCCGGGACGTAATTCCAAAGTAAAGAAAGAGAGTGGAAGTTCAGCAGGAATTCTTGATCTTTTGCAGGCAAGCAAGGAAGTTGGGGGTTTAGAGTATAACACCAACAGGTACGCACCAAGGGAGGCTTTTCCCTCTTACCTGGGAACAAAACTGCTCTTTTGTGGCTGTGTGTGAGAGAGAATGAATTGTGCAGCTTGGCAACTGCTTTTTCTCCAGTAAGCAAATTCTTCCTTTGTCCTATGATCTGGAGGTGGGAAAGATTTTTGGGGTATAATTTAAACAAATGGAGGATTTGACATCACTTTTAGCAATAATACTGTAATAGATAAAAATCATTCAAAAGGAGGAGAGAGCTCAGTGACTGCAGCTTGAGGGCATGAACTATGGTTTTTAATGTAGTGAGATTGTGATAAAGTAATCTAAATGGCCAATATTCCTTCCATAATGCATTGTAAGGTGCCATGAATATCAAATGTTTGCAAGAAGGAAATAGGAAACTATCTACCCTCCCTCCTATCCCTGGTCATCATTCTTCTCCCCACCAAAAAATATGGCTTGGGGAAAAAAAGTAAACTCTTTCATGGGTACTTCTATTTCTGAAATGGAAATATTTGCCTGGGCTTAGCTGTGTCTTATGTGGGATCTACTTATGTAGGTGAATGTGGGAACTGAAGCTGGGTGTTTTGGGATGTGGTCGATAAGGTACAGCACTAGATCATTCAGTAATCCAGACAGTGAGTGGTGAAAAGAAATGGAAAACCAAGTCTAGGCTAGGCTCAAATCCTGCATTCAGGACTGTCTGGAGCAAGGGGTGTGTCTGGGTCCATCTCAAACCAGATGTGTGGGGTCATTGCCTCCCCCCTTCACAGCCCAGCTCTGATCTCAAACCATCAGCAGACAGCTGGTAACAGAACATGGTGTTGTTTGGAGAGAAGTTAGTGGGACTGTTCACATATTGAAGTATCTTGCTTAACTCAAACCCTAGGAACAAATGCACAAGGAAGGGGTTTTGGGAACATCAGCTGAGTTGTGGCTTCCATGCACAGAACTGCAGGAGCTGCTGCGCCGGTGCCCGGTGCTCCCTCGTCCTCTGCTCATAAGGACATCCTTGCTGCTGCAGCCTGGAGGGAATGGTTTGTCCTCCATCTGTAGAAAAGCAGAGGTTTTCAGCCAAGCACTTCCCACTGCTCCCCAGGAGCCACAGCCTTGGTACTTTTGGAAACTGTGGGCTGCTGGCAGAAGTTTCTAGATTCTAAATTTGTGCAAACCAAGGAATAAACCTCCGAAGGGTGAGAGTAACAAGTCTGATGTGGGAAATTATGTGAGACATGTGGAAGGCTATTTGTGATTGGCTTTTTAATAAGCCAGTTCCATCTTCACCTTGAAAACCACCTTCCCCAGGCAGGTGGGATGTGTTGGGTTTCCTTGCTGACCGCTGGAACCAACAGCATAATTTTCCTCCCTCCTTTCTCTTGGTCTGCCTTGGTTATACAAAGCCACAGAAGCTGTGTAAGAGGTAGAAGTAGCTTTAGGATTGACCTGAGAGTTGAGAACAAACTGGACAGAGAGCCTGGTGCTGTCCTTTGCCCTTGCTGGGTGTTGGGGGCCTGTGACCCAGGAAAGGTGCAGCCTGCAAATTGAAAAGGATCTGTCAAAGTGGAATGAGGAGATCCCTCCAGAGAGGAAGATATTATCTAAGCCTGGGAAAATTAAAAGTCATAACTGAGAATTCCAAAGCTATGCCTCGTGGTCAAAGGGGAACATGTGGAATAAGTTACCAAGGGAAAATTACAATAGAAGAAAATATTATCAGGGATTTAAAAAAAAAAATCATTTTTTTGATGTTGAGAGAGAGAATGGAATTTGTTAAGGTTGCAACGTGGTGACAAAGCTGCAGAGAAATCTAGAGAAGGGAACATTGCTGAACTAAACCCATCTTCTGGTTCAACCTTCTCAAGTTACTAGAAAATTGTGTCCTCAGATGGTTGCAAGAGGTTAAAAACTATGATATGGCCTGACTTCATGCAGGGTGCATTGGCTGTGCAGAACCAGGCAGCTCTGTCGAGACACTCTGGCCTTTGGGCATCACCATTTAGGGTTCATTACTGGTTGCAAAGCAGGGACAGGGATCCCCATCCCTGTGCTGAGCAGAGATGGGCCACAGAGTCTCCTCTGATTTCTCTTTCCATCTCTAATGGGGGTGAAAAAGGCTTGATTTTAAAATCAAGTCACACAGTCACTTCATCTCCTCAGAAGTCTTGTCTTGACAAGGCTGCTATTTCTAGGGACAAGATCTCATCTCTCTCTAGTCCTGGTTTTCCTGTGTTGCTTCCCTTTCCATAGCAAGGAGAGGTTGACCAAACATCTGTCATGGAGGGCATGGGGAGAGGTGTCCATGTGTCTGCAGCTCCCAGGAAATCAAGTAGTTTTTGTTGTCTTAATTCAACTGGATCAGTGGTTCTGGATTTTCCCCATCTCTTCAGATTTGGCCCCAACTCTGCTCCCACACTTCAAAAGAAATAATCACATTAACACTTGTCTGTTTGACTGTTCCTGTGAATTCCTTTTCCATTCTGTGTTGTGGTTCATAATGGGATGAGTGTTTACATCGAATTTACAGTTACATTTTGGCAGGTCATTAGACATGTTGACAAGCAGCTAGGTGTGTCTAACTCTGTCAATAAAGTTGCCAGGCTAATAGAACTCCCACAGTGGAAGTCTGGTACAAAAAAAAGAAAATTTATGAACTATTATAAGAATTTGAAGAAATCTTCCTTGACCATGTGCACACTACCAACCGTTTATTGCCTGCTGATGAAATGGTCCTCCAATATTCTCTGCCTTGCTTGGGGTGTGTTTTGCTGCTGGCAAGGGGTTAAACTCCCAGAATAGAGAAGGACTCAGGCCTTTGCTTGCCCCCCCACTCCTGGATGATGTACCCAGGGTATTTGTAGACTTTGTGGTTTCTGAAATCAAAGTCTCCCAAAGTCTCATGTCACTGGACTCGGCTGAGTTCCTGCACTGTGTGGGGCAGTTCAGTGGGAATGTGTCATATCAATGCTGGCTCTGGGATAAACACTGGGCTTTGGCAGTGTGTGCTGCATCTTGATTGAAAAAAGCCCCTGATAAATGTAATTACTGTGTTTCATTTCATATTTAGGCTCGGCTTTTTAAATGACCATAATGTGCTTTTTAAAAATAAAATGGAAGAAACATGATATGCAAACGTACTGAGTTGCAACATGATGCCAGTGTGGTCATGTCTGACTCTCAGGAGCAATTCCCATCTTTCTCTACTTGTAAGGCAGATGAAGGGTAGGGATATGTATGTATTTATGGATATACATATATATATATGTATATTCTGGATACACCACGTAGTGGTCGTGCAGGTGGGTCACTGTGGAGTCTCCTCTCACACATCAAGCAGTCTGTGCATGGAGCCCTGTCAGACCAGTGCTGGAGCTGCTGTATCCCAGCACTAACTTGGGAAGCAGCTCAGGGCTTTTCGTGATAATGGCCTTATCTGAATTGTGGGAAATTTTGTTCTGTAAACTACTGGGCTGTCATTTGCAGCTGCCCACCTCAAATGCCCTGATGGCATTACCTCGACTGCTTTAGAGAGCTGCAGCTCAACTCCATGTGTCAGTGGGGAGAGGGACTGACAGAGCTCCTGCAGAAAGGCTGCTGTGACTGTGGGAGTGGGCTGAAAGAACTGAAATGGAATATGGCAAAAGCTTGGAGGGCTGGTCATCACCTGATCTTGAAATGAGCAGAATTACTTGTTGTGTCCAGGTCTGATTCAAAAATGGAAGGAAACACTGGGATTGTGCTTGGCATTATTGGAGTTCCATAGTTTTATACAACCGTGACTTCTGCAGAGCCACCCCTCAGTCAGTGATATTCTGCTGGAATATTGTAAATTCAGTTTCTATATAGGAGGATATAGGTGGAAGGCTCAGTAATTGCTGATGAAAGGAAGGAGATGATCTGCCTAGAGAGGCTGAGCCCTCAGAGAGAGGTGACAGTGGTTGTGAAGAGTGAGGCACCAGGTCCCTGCCTGATCCCCTGCATGATCCAGGGTGTTGGGATCGTTCCTGTGCCCAGCCTCACTGAGGAGGTAAAGCCTGAGTGCTGATTTGGTGTATTCCTGTCCCCATCACTCACTATGTCACCTGCTGTCAGGGATAGGATGCTCTTGTCAAACCTGGCTCAGTACCATGGACACCCTTGCTCCCATGCTCTTTTGAAGTGTTTTTAAGCTGTAATTGTAACTCTCTGATAGTTTACTTTCATAAATGTGGGGTTTTTTTAAAAATCATTGCTAAAGCTACAGAAAGGGGATACAGCTCTTCCAGAGCTTCAAAATAGCTTCCTGAGTCTTCTTGAAATTTTTCTTGGCTTAGAAAGCTGAAATACCCCTGATGGAAGCACACCAGGCACATGCCCTAATGAGAAACACTCTGCCCCATGTGCAACTCCGTCTCTGAGACATTTCACCCACTTCAGGTTGGAGTTTGACTCTCAGAACCACTGGTTTTGATCATATCTCACCATTCATTTGTTGAAGTTTGTGTTGCTTAAGGCAGTTCCTTTCTGATTTTCCCATTTAGTGGTCAATGTTTGATGGTCTGTTTGCAGTGTTTTGAGAGTCCAGTGCTTGGAAAAACAATTCAGGGAAAAAGAGTGAAGGAAGATTTGTTAATTCCTTATAGATGGTGCAAAATATGCCTTTACCAGAGAGAAGACAAAGGAGGAGGCATGATATTGGAGGAATTTAAATGGCTGTTTCCTAAATAGGTTTTTTTAGTGTTCTTCTATTTGCTGACTTGTGAGCTAACACCAGTCTTAACTCATTTTCAGGATTATTTATAAATGCCCTTAGTGCCCAGAAACTTCCATTATATCTTGTATGTTACTCTATCCTGAGCCCAAATTAAGCTCAAGTAGCAGAAAGCGACGTGGTGCTGCTGATTCTCTTGGGAAGGGCTGTGTGTTCATGGCTTCTGTTTCACAGCTGTAACAAACACCCTTGCCACAGCAAGGGTTTTTTTTTTGTTTTGTTTTGTTTTTTGTTGTTGTTTTTGGTTTTTTTTTGTTGTTGTTGTTGTTGGTTGGTTGGTTGGTTGGTTGGTTTTTTGTTGTTTGTTTTTTTTTTTTTTTTGCATTTCACTACTTGCCCAAACTCCAAAGTTCTGGAAATAGTGGATGATGTGTTCTGCCTGTCGCAGAATTAATGTCTGGTGTTCTCCTGTGAGATTATCTGTGTTCATCTCTGTGGTGGGCAGGGCGCCTTCCCACCTCCCTAAGTGTCAGTGCCAGTCAGAATTTACACCTCGTTTGACCTCAGCCTATTCTAGGAATGCAGTAGATGTGCTGTGTCTGCTGACAATGGGCAATCAAATACTAGAAAGGAAGTTCAAGGAAATCTGTCTCTCTCCAGTATCTCCTGTAATCAATCCGTCCCACACTCACATCAGAAAACCTTCCCAATGCACTGCAGAAACTTCTCAAATTACTTGTGCCTCATTGTGTTGCTCTTCCAGCAGATCCTGGAGGGGTGACAGTCCCTGCTGTGAACTGGGGCCTGTGACCATGAACTTCCTTCTAGTTGTTCATGCTCTTGCTCTAATTGCTTGTATGGAGCAGAGCCCTCCATGACATCCCCCATCAGTGCTGGTGCATAAGCTCTCCTTTTATAGGACTTGGTAGTATAGATTATAAACATTATTATTAAAATATGATGATGATGATGAGGAGGATTTGGTAGTACAGATAAATAGCATTATTAAATATATATAGGTAGAGAAATAATATTATTAAAAGATAAAGATGATGATGATGATGATGGTGATGATGATGATAGTTGGTAGTAGAGACACTGTACTGTTGGGAATACAATGTGGGCTTTGGAAAGTTCCCTGAGCCCTGTCCAGAGCAATGACAGCCCCCAGGGACATGCCCACATCTGAGGATGTCTGGGATGCTGCTGCTCCATAAAATTACCTGCTGTCCCTGGCAGTGTGTCCAGCTACTCAAAGGAACCAGGGAATCTCTTCTAGCACAAATGTGCTGTGAAAGGAGTGAGCTGCCTGTGAGGGGTTGGTGTTTCTGGAATCACTGATGGCTCCTGTGTTTCTCCCTGTGTCCCCACAGCCAGCCACCTGCTTCCCCCAGCACCCAGGAAGCCATCCAGGGCATGCTCTCCATGGCAAACCTCCAGGCCTCGGAGTCCTGCCTTCAGACGTCGTGGGGCACCAACCAGGCGAAGAACAACTCCATCTCCATGCAAAACTCCAAAAAAGCAGGCGGCGGCGGCAACAAGAACGCCGGGAAGCGGTTACTGAAGAAAAGCACAAAGAACAGCCTCGACATCGAGGATTACGATGAGGATCAGGACCACTTGGACGCCTGCTTTAAGGACTCGGATTACGGTGAGTGGGAAGGAAGCAGGGTGTGCCTGGGGCTGCATGGCCACACCTGTGCATGTCTGCAATGCCCCATTGCCCGTGGTCGCTTTCTCCTGCTCTGCCGTGGTGGTGTCGGCCGGTGTTGGGTGAGGAGGAGTGTTTGTAACACGGGGGCTGCACCACAAAATCAGCAAAGACCCTGTGATACCAGAGTGTCTGCAGAGCCCGTGGTGGCACAGCCACCCGGGCAGGCTGGAGTTGAGGCTTGGCACAATGAGAAGCTCTCAGAAATAGGAAAAGCCCCTGAAACTGTAGCAGTCAGCCCAGAAACAGGAGACTGTCTCAGAAATGTGGGTCAGGCACTCGTGACAGAAATATCCTTGTCTGCACAACGGCAAAGAAACATCTGGCTGAGAGGGGTGAGAAGTTGACTTTGTACATGGAAAAGGGATCCAATGCTATTTTGAGTGTTGGCAGAAAAGGCCAAGTATCTGCAGCAGAAATGAGCACAAAGCCAGTTTGCACCAGTTACATCAGTTCTGTCATAGTTATCATGGAATCATGGAATGGTCTGGGTTGGAAGGGACCTTAAAGCTCATCTCATTCCAACTTCCTGCCATGGGAAGGGACACCTTCCACCAGCCCAGGTGGAAGCCCAAGCTCTGTCCAACCTGGCCTTGGACACTTCCAGGGATGGGGCAACCACAGCTTCTCTGGGCAACCTGTGCCAGGACCTCCCCACCCTCACAGGGAAGAATTTCTTCCCAATATCCATCTGATCCTGCCCTCTGGCAGTGGGAAGCCATTCCCCCTTGTTTTGTCACTTCAGCCTCCTCTCCAAAGTCCCTCTCCAGCTCTCTTGGAACCCTTTTAGGCACTGGAAGGGGCTCTAAGGTCTCCCTGAAGCCTTCTCTTCTCCAGGCTGAAGAATAATATGCAGAAGCATTTTTGTGTATAAGTGAGGAAATCAAGACAATAAAGTAAATGCTGATAGGGACTGGGAAGCCTGAAGTGCTTAAGGGGGCAAGAAATTGGTTTATGCTGCATAGCAGGAGAGTCTCTGCATGTGTTTCAGACTCCCTGGCAAGTGTGACCATCAGGAATCACTTGCTCCAGTTAGGAAAGAGAAGTGGGTCTTTTCAGATCATTAATAGAGCTGCCAAGGAGATGTGGGGCTGCTGTGACAGGTTGCAGGAGGCTGCCCAGACACTGGAGAGCACATGCACTGGGATGCAGTGGGAGTCCTGGACATGCTTTGCAAAAGGGCAGCACAGGACTGTGGTTGACAGATGTCACACGTGCTGTCCTGAGGGGCAAATTTGCTCCCTGTGCTGGTGCTGCCAGTGAATGGAGAGTGGTTGTGAGCAGCTGGGTCTGCAGAGGCTCTGCCAGTGCAACATGTGATCCACAGACTTCAAGTGTCAATGACCACGTGCCCCAGGAATGCCAACACCAGGGATGGGACAAATGGCAACTGGCAAGAAAATGAAATGCATGTGAAAAAAAACAACAGAAGCTTCTTAGAAAAGGCTGGAAAAAAGTTTGGGCAGAAAAGTTGGTGTTTATTCCAGAGGGCTGAGAAGAGTCCATTCATAGAATGGCTCAGCTTCATCTAGAGAAGAGGTGACTGAGGTCAGACCTCATAAGGATCTGCAGCTCCTCCAGAGGGGCAGCTCCAATCTCTGCTCTGTGTGACCCAAGGGAATGGCTGGAGCTGTGCCAGGGCAGGGTTAAGCTGGATATCAGGAAAAGGTTCTGCCCAGAGGAAGGTCAGGCACTAAACAGGCTCCCCAGGGCAGTGGTCACGACCACAAGGCTACCAGAGCCCAAGGAGTGTTTGGACAACGCTCTCAGGGACAGGGTGGGATTGTTGGGGTGTCCTAGGCAGGGCCGGGAGTTGGACTGATGATCCTGGTGGGTCCCTCCCAACTGAGGAGATTCTGTGATTACAGAGTACCCTAAAAGTACCTGGTCACAGTTTAATGACAACAGCTCCCAAGGGCAGTGTGTGCATGAGAGCAAAGTCCCCTGAGTGTCACAGCTACCAGCCCTCAGTGGCACTTCTGGGGACCATCCAGCTGTGGTGCCTGCGGTCACCACACCTGGACAGAGCAACGTGCAGGGTAGAGCTGTTTCCTACACTGAAACTATTGCCTTTGTTTCCTACTGTAGTTTACCCTTCTCTCGAATCAGATGAAGATAATCCAGTTTTCAAATCCCGATCAAAGAAAAGGAAAAGTTCAGATGATGCCCCTTACAGTCCGACGGGTAAGTCCATGTTGTCTGTGCTGCCCAGACTCAGGCTAAGTTGTGCAGGTCCCTAAAAAACAGCCATTTTTCCAGGAGTGTGGAAACCATAACTAGTGATTTCTTTATCATGTGAAGGATTAACCCTTTCCAGCACAGTGGGAGGTGATCCATGCACTGTGATTCCTGCTGAGCAGTGTTAGCCTTCCTCCTTCAATCAGCTGGCAGGAAAAAATCATTCCTTGGTTGGTTTATTTCTCCTCACACTCTTGGTAGTGGATCAGTTGGTGGCACCTTAGCAGAGGGGTAACAGTCAATCCCTGGACACTGAGTAGCCATGGATTTTAGGTGGTGACTGTGGGAATAGTGAGAAAGTGTGGGAATAGTCTCCTCCAAGCTCAGCCAAAGCTGGGTGGGTTTGTTGGGGCTCACCAGAGGCAGTGACAGGAAAGAGGGTCCTTAGACCCTTTTGATGTGGCCCATGAGTAGGGGCCCCTCCACGGCGTGCTGTGTGTGTGACAAGCAGCCCATGTCTCATCAGCTTGTGGCACTGCATGTCCTCCCCCGAGGGGGAGTGAGCACCATCCATTTGGAAATGACGCTGGAGTTGCTCATATCCATAATGTGGGCACACACCCACACAGCTTTGGCTTCAGGTGGCCGTGGAGTTGCTCAGCTGTGTGCCATCTTTATCAGCAGCTTCTCCCCACGCTGCTGTGCCCGGAGGCTGTTGGCACCTCTGCCTTCAGTCACACCCTGGGAAGGGAAAGGCAGAGGCTGGCCGTCCCCATCGCTCCCTGCTGAGGAGGGCAGAGCCCCAGTGCCCTGTGCATGGCTGTGCTGCTCCCACAGGCACATCCCTGCCCCTCACCTGCCTCTGCTTGCCTTGCAGCACGAGTTGGCCCCTCAGTGCCTCGACAGGACAGGCCGGTGCGAGAGGGCACGAGAGTCGCCTCCATCGAAACCGGACTCGCCGCTGCCGCCGCCAAGTTGTCACAGCAGGTGAGAGACTGCTTGGGCAGTAGGAGCTGTCAGGGGAGGAGAGCCCTGTCCCCCAGCAGAGCTGTGCCCGAGTGCAGCCCAGTGCCAGCCCTCCACAGTGTTTGCTCATGCCAGGGACACAAGGCTCAGCAGTCTCAGGGTAATAAACGGGATCAAAGCCCAACGGTGTCACAACACACCTGAGCACGCCACAGGGTGACAAGGGACAGAGGAAAAGCATAGGGAGGGGTGAGGGAGTGAGAAGGGCTACCAGGGTAGAATAGGAGGAGGTTGTCCCAAAGGAGTGTATTTGGTGTGTATTTGAGAGCCTGACTGGTGTGATTGCCTGTCTGTGCAGATCAGCTGCTGGGAAGTGTCAGGATTTGCTTCCAAAGATTTGGTGCACTGTGGGTAGTTAGGGGCCAGTTTAGCAAAGGTACTGGGGCACTTTGGGTGTTGGCAGGTGTCCAGTCTCTGAAGGGGTCAGATAGGCCCCAGATAGGTGACATGAGGAGGTGCTAAGGTGACAAAGTCTACTGGAGGAAGGTTGGTGAGGCACCTCGGGAAGTTGATGGAGATGCAGGTTGTGGTGGCTTTGGGCTTCTGCGATGTAGACTGTTGAGTAGAAGAGCTTTAAAGATGGTGGCAGGGTATCATCAAGAAGAAACTGAAAGTAAGCAAGGGACTCAGGACGGTGATAGACTGCTGTCCTCATGGTGCACGTGTCCAGGTGCAGTTACAGGTCAGGAGATGACGTGTGTGTCCTGGTGGGAAGCAGAGGCTGAATCAGTGGGATGTTTAATACCCTCCATGCTGTTGTGAAAGGGTGTGAAGATCCCTGAAGATAGGAGGTGCCAGTGTTTGTGGAAGATGGAAAGCTTTGCTCATGCCGACCCCGCTGCCGTGCCAGGGCAGTGTCGGTGTGGCCCTGGCTGGCTCCGCTCGCCGCAGCGGTAACGAACGAGGAGGCTCTGCCCGGGGCGTGGACGTAGAGGCACGAGAGGCAAACGTGTGTGTGCAGCTGTGAGCGAGACGGTGTCGGAACAGCCCCCGAGCGCTTGCCCGTGGCCAACTCCGCGGGGTTTCGCTGTATCAGCACCCTAAGCAACGCCGCTGGCCCTTGCCCTAGCTAAAGGTCTTCTGGGGATTAATCTGAGCTTCATCTTTGTCATTTTAAAGGAGGAACAAAAAGGCAAGAAGAAAAAAAATACCAAAAAGAAGCTGTCAGCCCCCAACGCAAGCAAAGCGGCTCAGGAAGGCAGCTCGCCCGAGCCGAAGCTGGAGTCACAGGCCAGCAGCCTCACAGATCACGAGTACACCGCAGGGGCCAGCACCTTTGGGGTCGCCCAGCCTAACAGGGGATCGCAGCCGATGGCACCCGGTGTTTTCCTCACACAGAGGAGACCCTCTTCATCCTCGCAGAACAATGCCTCCGCCAAAGGTACCAGGAAACGCCGGGGGTTGTGGTGCAGGAGTGGGGAAGGGTGAAGCCATCGTGTAACCCGTGCCTTTTGCAGGGCCTTCACACGCCGTGTGTGCTGTGGGGGTGCAGAAGTGCAGACGTTTGGATGCAGGTCAGATCCAGTCAGAGATAGGGCCCATGGCCTTGGCTGTCCTGGCATTGGGGCCAAAGAGGTGTTTTGCTCCTGGGCTGTTGGTTGCAGGGTGTGAGGCATCCCATGTCAGGAGCTCTGCTGAGCATGGCCTGAGCTCGTGAGGAACACCCACAGTGTCACATCCCAGTCCAGCCTGTCTGGCAAAGCCTTGTCTGGGGAAAGAGGAGGCTGTTCTGTTCAGAGTAGGGCAGCACTGTGGTGGTGGCAGGGGTTGTACACCACCCTGTGCTGACTGTACCTGAGGACACTCCTCCCAGGCTGTGTGAGGCAGGGCACACTGCAGATCTCTCTGGAGAGTTGCCTCAAAGGAGCAGAGGAATAGCAAACCTTGGGAGTAACACAGGTTGCAGGAAGAGGTCTCTTGTTTTCTACCCTAGGGAAAGTGTGACAAAGCTGAGGCTGTGCCCGGATCTGGGCTAGGTCCTCCTCTTCTCTGCTTGAACTGGGATCAGGAGGTGTGGCTGAGGCAGGAGTGTGGGACAGGCACTGTGTAGTGTGAAGGTTGTGTGTGATCCCACTGGGAAAGACCCTGATGTGACAAGTGAGGCAATGTGGCACATGTTTTCTGAATTCTCTGTATTTGAGTGGAGCAGATTAGAGGAAGTGCAAGGTATCCTGGCAGCTTGGATGGGCCATAAAGGAGGATGAGTATAGCCTGTGGTAGGTGCTGGGGTCCTGCCAGGAGCTAGTAGTATTTGTGGCTTTCTGCAGAGCCAGAGTGGAAGGAACATGTTTGCCTGGAATTCTGCCTTTGTGTTGAAATGGTGGCATTAGGGAAACAGTTCCAAGGTAGTGGAAGATGTGGTGGGAAGATGATCCATCAGATCCAGATGCTGATGGAGCCAACCCCCAGTGTGGCTGGTAGCTGGCCAGCACAGCAGGGTGTTGTGCAGGGAGCCTGGCCAGGCATGTGGATCCCACCCTGCCCATGGGATCACTCAGTCCTCAAAGGAGGGAAGGGGTCATTGCCAAGAGAGGAGAGGCTGATGTGGCAGGGAGTGGAGCACCATCAGGTAGGTCTTCCTCTGCAGGGTCTTAGGACAGCTGAAGGCTCTGAGGGGACTGCAAAGCATCTCTGCATGGAGCACAGGAGAGTACTGAGTGTGGGGACCACCAGGTTGGGCATCACTGGGAATGAAGGCACTATGGAAGGAAATGGTGGGATGAAGCAGAACCAGGGAGTTCTAGGACCGCCTCAGGAAAGGTCTCTCAGTCTTACAGGGTGATGTGAAAGGAAGAGAAATGAGGAAACTTCCTGTGGGAAGTGTCACCCACACATTCACAGTCTTTAAATCTGGGGCACTTAAAGCACCTGGGACCAGTGGAGAGGAGCTCAGTCCCTGCAGGCACCGCACTTGACTGACCCTGTGGCAGATCAGTGGGAAGGGGAGAGGCTGCCTGGGTTTGTGCCCAGCAGTGCTGGGGCAGTTCCTGGCTGTACGGTGGTAGCTGGGGAGCAGCTGAGGAGCAGCTCCAGTCCCAGGAGCAGCACACAGGGAGCACAGAGCTCACTTAACCACATTGCTGGGGCTCCTGGTGGTGGTGGTGTCCTCATCAGGATGAGGACAGGGAGTGATGTCCACCTGGGGTGTGTGGGAGTGCCTTGGTGCTAGTCTGGATCTGCAGGAAGGAAGCATGTGTGTCTGTGTGTGTGTTTCCAGCATCCTCCTGGGGAGGCTGGATGCAGGTGGTGTGTCTGGCACTGCAGGAAGAGAGGGCAAGGAGAAATATGGAGATGTGGTGGTATGTGGGTTGGTCTCAGTGTGGTGAGTGAGGGACCAGGCATCCTCAAGGCAGTGTTTGTCCCGGGACCTGTGGTGGCATGTGAGCTGAGGATCCCTGTGCCACATGTTTCCCATAGAGGAAGTCAGAGAGGAGCCCAGAGAGCCCCGAGGAGCCTGCAGGTGCAAGGAGCTCTGTGTGTGTGTGTTTATGTGTCTGTGTGTGTGTTTATGTGTATGTATGTGTATGTGTTTGTGTGTGTTTGTGTGTTTGTGTGTGTGTGTTGTGTGTGTGTTTATGTGTCTATGTGTGTGTGTTTGTGTATGTTTGTGTGTGTGTGTTGTGTGTGTTGTGTGTGTGTGTGTGTGTTGTGTCTGTGTTTCTGTGTGTGTGTTTCTATGTGTCTGTGTTTGTGTCTGTGTGTTTCTGTATCTGTGTGTTTGTGTGTCTGTGTAGTTTTGTATCTATGTGTTTCTGTGTCTGTGTGTGTGTGTGTGTCTGTGTGTTTGTGTGTGTGTGTGTGTCTGTGTGTGTGTCTGTGTCTGTGTCTGTGTGTTTTTGTGTGTGTGGGGGTTTGTGTTTGTGCAGCCTCTCCCTGAGGAGCGGGATGGCACTGGTGTGGCAGGGTTTGAATGTCACCCTGTGGGCAAACAGGTGACCATGAGCAGTGA